GCATCCAGCTTTACTTCTTCCTACCTCTTTGGAAATCGTTCGTCAAGGTTTGATACAAAATATCGATCGAGTTGTTTAAAAAAAAAAACCAGATATAAAAAAAAGTTTAGCCGCTAACGTGAAAAATGTGCAATTTTTACTTAGTGGCATAACAATTGTCTTGGCCCCCCCCCCCTGTATTATATTATCTGTGCTAGAGTTGTAACTGTTTTAAGTTTTTCTTAATTGGCAAGCATAATTTTATTTTTGTATTTTTCCTTTATAAAAACCTTACCTTTTTTTTTCTCTTTGTTCTGTAATTAATTTTTCTGCAGCTGCATTCCTTATTTTTGTATAACGTTATTTTTCTTTTGTATTTTTGTTTAAACTTCATTACTCGTAGCTTTTGTATTTTTTCTTCCAAAAAATAAATTTTATATATCAATTGTTAATGGTGTATTTATTATTTAATTTATTTATTTAGAATTATAACAATCTGTCACGTGGACAATAGTACATAGTGAACACATTTACGCCATATTTACAGAAAATATAAAATTAATAAAAGTAAAATAATAATCAAAAACTATGTACAATAAAATAACCTAAATATAAGTAAATTAAAAAACATAAAAACACAGTCATACCTATATACAATAAGGCAGGGAACACTAAGCCAGGCTTCTCCCCCAACTATAGAAGGAAAAGCAGGACTCTAAGAGACCCCTGCGCTACTCTCTCAACCGCGTCACTGGTACTAAAGCCAGTGGAGTTTGAGCGAGAGTGCTATAGCCACGGTGTATTTATTGAGTGAATATACCAGAATCCCTTAAAAAACACAATATTAAATTCAACTCCAGGCACTGGTCAATAAAATCCTTAAACTCACCTTGTACCATCTGAATTGCAGATTTGTCATCCAGAGAAGAAAAAAAAGGCTCTTGATTCGACCTCTTAACATATTTAATCTTTCATTTAGCATATAGATTTCGTTTGATAGTAAGCCTGGTCAGGTGTACCTAGAAGTGTGTTTTATAGAACACTAGCGGATCCAGGATTTAATTTTGGGAGGAGGGTTTCAGCTTTTTTTTCCCCCTAAGCATAATTTATCTTTTCCTTAAAGAGAGGAGAAAAAAATCTTTTATAGAAGCAATGTGCGAAGCAACAAAGATATCATAAATATATGATTAATAGTAACAGGGAAAAAAGTGCAGTTTTTAGATAAATGGAAGTTAAACCGCAAGGTGAGATAACAGCAGATGAGACCGAATCTGTCAGTAGACAAGACGGAACCTGTCGATTCCCTAGCCAAAATCAAGCACATCAAGTATTACAAATTTCTATTAATATAAAAGTTTTTTACAGTGTCTCCCGACCCCCAAACGCAAATAAAGAAAGTACAAAAAATCGATAAAACAATATTTTCGTAATTTTGAATAATTTATTTAAATTAAAATGTGATTCAGAGGACCATATCGGAGACCAGAGAAGTTTATCTTCCATTGACAGGAAAGTCAGAAGTCAGACAAGCTTGAGGAGTGAGGTAAACCAGCAAAAACAGTGGGAAATTTGATTTGATTTCCCAGGATATATACATACATGTCTTTGGATTTGAACTCTATACCAGCTGACAGAAGGATATTAGTACATAAAGGGATCCCAAAGAAGAAAATCTAAGCATGGGAATCACCAGCCACTTGAGCTATCCAAAGGAGCACCAATTTATAACTTGCTCATTGTTAATAAATATTAACTCACCTTGTTAATAAACCCACTCATTGTTAATAAATACTAATTCACCTTGTTAATAAACTGCTCATTATTAATAAATACTAAACTTAACTTGTTAATAAACCGCTTACTGTTAATAAATACTAATCTATTATGATATCTGGGCTCATTTCAACTCAACCCACTGTAGAAATATTCCTACCTCAATCCCTTCCTATCTGTTTACCAAGCCAAACTCCCTTCTTCCATGACTAATATTCTTTTAACCTGCCGTGTCAACGCTCAGTCGCTCTGAGCCCATTTCGATAAATTGTGTGACTTTCTCCTCTACAACTTTTACCATTTAATTGCAGTCTCTGAAAACTGGCTAAAGCCCATTTCTTAGATCTCTCTACCCAACTATACTCTCCTTCATCATGACAGAGTGGACTGAACGGGTGGTGGTTTAGGTCTCTTTGTTCATGGCAGCCTTAAATTCAACATCGTCAATTGCTCTTCTCCTAACGATTCTCCTCACCTTGAATATCTGATGGCTAAAATAATCACCACACCGTCTTCCCTTCTTTTTCCTGTCATCTATCACCCTCCTAGAATTTACTTTGGCCAAGCATTTGATACTAGTATTTACAATCTAATCCCATCTTAACTGAAGACTTCAATACCAATTTACTAATTCCCTCCTCTAATTATTCTTACCTAACGACCTTCCTTGATTCCCTTGGCCTCTACATAGTGCCCTATAATCCAACTCATCATACCCAGTTCTCAGAGTCTTGGCTCGATTTGTTTATCCTAGATTCCTCAGACAAACTCCTTCCTGCATCTCAGCACCCAGTCCCACTCCTATCTTCTTATGATCTTATCCAGATTTCTTATAATATCCTGGTCCCATTTTTCTTTCTCCGAACTATATCCTTCCGAAACCTCGATTCCTTAACATATGAAATCCTCTCGCATGATCTCAACGATAGCCAATGGGACTTCATTTATCACTTAAACACCTTTGATACCATGGCAGAAATCCTTACTACTCACCTTCATACCATCCTAGACTATCATGCTCCTCTTATAAAAAAAACTATCCGACATACCCCAACTCCTTGGCTAACACCCACTCTGAGAGGATGTATGAAAAGAAGATATACTGCAAGACGGTGGTTCAAAAGAATTTGAATGATCTGAAGATTATCTCTTCTTCAAACGACTCTGAAACAGCACTCCATCTGCAATATGTTGCACCAAATACCTTTGTTTCCATCAAACCCTGTCCAGCACTCCAAATTCCTAAGCCTGAGGATGGCCAGCTCCATAAATTGTCCTTCTGTAAATCCACCCAAACCCAGTCTAGCCCTATTTCAGTCAACGTACTCAACACATACTCCCTCCATTTTTCCTATCCTTTATCATATTTATAACTTCTCATTGCCAAGTTCCACTTTCCCCAGCACTTGGGAAACTACCCTTGTTCGTCCGCTGAATACAACCTCCATTCCCACAACCCCTAATGATTTCCACTCAATTTTCCTATTATCAAACCTTTAGAACGATTAGTTCGATCCTAATTATCCCACTCTCTCGAGCAAAATAATCGTCTGAACCACGAATCTTGTTTTAAACCAGACTACTCCCCCCATTCCACCCTCATAAAATTCTCCCAAGATCTGCAAATATCTAAAGACCATCAGAAACTCATCATCCTTATTCTGCATGTTTTTTTTCAAAGCCTTTGACTCAGTAGACCACAATATCCTCCTTCCAATCCTTTCCCACCAGTCGCTCCCAATATGATGTAGTCCCTAATAATCCCCCATCAGAGTCTCTACCCTTGTTCAGAGATATTCCGCAGTATTCTTCCTTATCTCCCACCCTTTTTTCCATCTATATCAATGACCTTCTGTACTCTATTCTGCACTGTCAACACCAACAGTATGCCGATGACACCCAAATTTACCTCTCCTTCAATCCAGCTGATTCCTCTGATGCCATCCTAAAATTCCAGGAAGATATCAACAGAATATGTGCTTGGGTAAACCACAATAGGCTCACTCTAAATGCCGAGAAGACGAAAGCTATCCGGCCCGGATCCTTCTCACTCATCAAATCTATTCCTGTACCTCCCAATCTTCTCCTGAACAACTCACCTATCTCATTCCATACTTCCGTTTAAAAAATCTGTTATTTTTTATCAAACCCACTCCTGGAAACCACACATCTTCCAAATTTCTCATTGTACTATTTCTACCCTGAAACAGTTCAATCCTCTACACTGTCTCCTTCCATACAAAACCCGTCAACTTATGGTTTCCTCTCTTGTTTTTCACCACTTTGACTATGGCTGTATGGTGTACAGTGGACTCTCGGGAGAACTCTAAGCCAAACTTAAACATCTAATGCTTTGCTCAATACCTTTTGTCTTCGGGATTTCAAAAGATATGCATATTACCCAGTATTAAACTGCGTTGAAAGTGGCTCTATCCATCCTGTGGTTGTCAGTACTTCCTTGCTTTTTTTGAGTCCTCACCTTCCTAGCCTTTAAGGCTATATGAGGGTTTTCCCAGGCCAGGGAGTGTGGGGGGGGGATTTAAAAGATGCTCTTGGCACCGGGATGCAAACTCGTGACTATATTTTATCATTGTATCTTATATACCAGGTTGCCAGGCAATGGTGGTCCTGTGCACACATGTTAGCCCGTTCAGCCACCCCGTCCACTAAAAATATATCTGTACATCCTTGTTATTATATAGTCAGAAGGCCATTAGAACTCAGCAACCCTCCTATATTCTTCAGAGCCTACAATTTAAATTCTCCACTGAATCCCATCCCACTAGATCCCAAATTCCCGACCTCTATCCTCCTCGTCACTGAACTGCTGCTTTTGACAAATCCTTTATAATTCAAGACATCACCCTTTGGAATTCTATCCCTCCCGATATCAGACATGCACAATCAGTTTCCTCATTCAAATCTCTCCTCTTTAAGCACCTACTCCTTTCCCAATCCGACTGATCACAGAATCTATATAAGAGAATTTTTAAGTTTCCCCAGAAACTATTTTGTTTACTTATGTTATTTTAGTTTCCTATGTTTATTACACACACACACACACACACACACACACACATATATATATATATATATATATATATATATATATATATATATATATATATATATATGTATATATATGTATATATATATATATATATATATGTGTGTGTGTGTGTGTGTGTGTATGTATGTTTTTTTTTCTGAATTTTTATTTTAATTAGATATTATTTTGTAAATATTTAATTTAAAGTATGGCCACACTGGTATTTATAACTTATTCTAAAGGGACAACAGTCCCAAGATAATAACAAATATTTTCATTTCATTTAACTTCAATATAGAAGGGCTAGGCCAAAACTTTTTTTAATAGTTTTTGCTAGGTCTATTTTAGATAAAGTTAAAATAGAAATAGATGATCAATGATCACTTTTGAATTACTGTAAAATTGTTATTAATTCAATAAAACAGAAAATTTTAATAATAAAAAAACAGAATTGTCATTATAATATTTTTTAAACAACGAAATAACAAAAATAATATAACTAAACTTCTGGATTAACAAGTTGTAAGTTTTCATCATTTGAAAGATAAGAAGACGAAGTTATACTGTCTCTACTAGGGGAGCTTTGGTTTGAAGTTTCACTACTAGGAGTTGGTGTTGGTGGTTTAATGGGAGTCAATGACCTCTGTCTCCAAGAACGAGTCCTATGACTTCTATTAGTGGATATACTTTCCAAATTGCCACTTGTTTGACCAACTGCAATAGAATATGAAGGTGGAGGCTCTCGATGAAAAAAGTCATCTTCAATTAATTCAGGAAAAGATACATACCGAGTCAAACTGAAAAAATAAAATAATAAACCAATAGCACTAACATGAAACTTAGTTTAAATAAAATAATGATCAAATACAATTTTAAATAATTATCATCATATTTAATAAACAATATATTTAATCTTCTTGTATAAAATAAAAATTCGTTTACACATTTACTGTTTGCTACAAATAACTCATAAATTTCATTCATAATTAGGATGCTAACTTCGAATAAACTTATATATATACATACATACATATATTCTTTCTTGTAGTGAGGATAATCACAGGTCTTATTTTATCCTTTTGTAAATGAATATCATCATTTTGAGCAGTTATGTAGTCGGTTATATTCTGTAAATTTATTTCTTCCTCAATGTTTCTCACAACAACACGAGGGTTCATTTTATTTATTTTATGGTATGATATTTTTCTTGAGCCTTTTATAGTTTGAGCAATTTCGTTGAGATCTTTCTCCCTGTCGGTCTGTATTATTAATGATCCGTTTTTTGTTTCTACAACCTTTTGAAAACTTATGTGTAAATCTTTTGGATTTACTAAAGACTTAAATTCGTTACAAAGTTCATTCGGTTCTAATGATATTTTAGGTTTAATAATTGCCTTATGGGCTGTTCGATTTTGTGCTTTCATTACAACCCTTTGGGCAACTGCTGAGTAACTAATTTTGTTATTTAAAGAGAGGTTGTCTTTTTTAATAACCTCCCCGATTTCCAAACTAAATGATTGGTCACAAAGATTACCTACATATTTTTCCATCACTTCGATAGCTTTTCCGACCTTCGGTCGCAGGTCTTTTCTCAAGAGATTGTAATCCAAAACCTCCTTTAAAGTCTTGATAGCGTAATTTAAATCCAATACTTCACCGGCCATTTTGCTGGAGACCTGCTTGTGATGAGACTCAAGTAGTCGGCATGCTGTTTTGGAGGTTGACGCAGGGACTCGAGAATTGCTATTATATAATAAAATCAGCCTCGGACATCAAAAGGTGAGAATTCAGGATTATTTCCAAATAAGAAGGTGCACCAAGTGCCTTAAATTTCACCATAGAAGCAAGGATTGCAGAGGGACGATAGCATGCTCGAACTGCGGAGGTCAACACGCGGTTAGTGACTGCACTTCTCGAGAAATGAAATGTATCATTTGTCAAAACTACAACAAGTTCACTAAAAGCCAAAAGAAGCGCCCCACAGAACATTCTGTATTTGACCGAAACTGCCCGTCGTACTTGACAGAAATACAGAAATTGGCATCTAATACCAACTACAACATCCCTCTACAGTGAGTAATTAATAACCATAATATATACATATTTCAAAATATTATTGGGGACTGTAAACAATTAATTTTTAAGGATGGTACATAGACAATTAAACATGTTACAACTCAACACACATCATTCAAAATGCACATTGAACATGCTACAACAGTATATAAAAATGAAACAAATAGACGTTTTATTAATCCAAGAACCTTATACAAGATTAAATAAAATTGTAGGTTATAATCAGTCAAGGGTTTTTCAAACAATAGGAAGCAATCCCAGGGCTGGAGTCGTTGTGACCAATAAAAACATTGATGCCTGCATGATATTGCAACATTCTGATTGTGATTTTGTTTGCATAGAAATATCATACAGTGAATTAAAATGTATAATAATATGTGCTTATTTTGATATCACCCAAAACATAAATTTGGATTTACAAAAAATAGAACGCGTTTTGGATTATTTCAAAGATTCTAATATCATTATTGGATTGGACTCCAATGCAAGATCTAAATATTGGTTCGACAAACAAACTAACGAAAGGGGTAAAAATATGGAAACTTTTATTATTGAGAAAGATTTGTTCTTAATGAATATAAATTCCGAACTAATGACTTTCCAAGGGCCGCGAGGCAGTAGTAATATTGATTTAACATTATCTAATACAAAACTGATTAGACATAATATTGTAAAAAATTGGACAATTTCTAGAGAAACAAATTTTTCGGACCACAACATTTTGACTTATGAGTTACATTTACAGGGAAATGATAAAACTGGAGTGCTAGCAAAAGACTATATATATTTGACAGAGAATGGTGACTGGAATAAATTCTTGGCTAACTTAATACATCAGTTAGAAAAACAGTTTTTATCTCAACATTGTACTGATAAGAAGAAATTGACAGTTTATGATACCGAAAAGCTGATTCTTAATGAGTTTTCTCTTATGCCTACTGATATTATCATAAATAAAATGATAAAATCTATCGTAAAATCTTGCAATATAGCATTCAAAAGATCCGGCCATTTCAAAGGTCGAACTAGAAAAAGATCAGTACCTTGGTGGAACCCTGAACTAACTGGCTTGCGTAAAGAGACAAATCATCTAAGAAGAAATTACCAGCGGACAAAAGACGATGGACTAAGGGAATCAAGGAGAGTGATCTATCTCAAAAGTAGGCAAGCATATCAAAAGCTAATTAAAAGTTCCAAATTAAAGTCCTGGAAGACATTTGCTACTGCATCAAAGGCGTGGCAATGGCCATATAAGTTTGTATCCAATAAAATAAAACCTCAAACCTTACTCACTACCACTTTGAATGAACTAGGAACATACACAACAGACACTAAGAATACATTATCTCATATATTAAATAAGATAATCAAAGATGACAATACAAGTGATGACACTAACGAACACAGACAAATGAGAACAGAAATACTTATCCCGCCTAATAATGATGATGACACTAATATCCGGGATTTTGAAATATTACAAGTTATTAATAAATTGGATGACAAGAAAGCGCCAGGAATAGACAAAATTGACCCAAGAATGATAAAAAAGATAGCTGACTCCTATCCAAAATTGATAACTGGACTTTATAAAACCTTATTCAAAAGAAATGAATTTCCTAAAAGCTGGAAGGTGGGTAAATTAACATTGATTCCTAAGGCTAATTCATTTTCACTGAGACCACTAAGTATGCTTCCTGTAATGAGTAGAATTTTTGAAAAAATAATAAAAAATAGATTAATGCATCATCTACTTAGTAACAATATACTCCACCGACACCAATTTGGATTCAGACCCCAATCAGGAACTGACGATGCACTCAGTGAATTGAACGACCATATCACCAGTACACTCCGGCAAAATAGTAATTTACTGGTTGTTTCTTTGGATATCGCGGGTGCCTTTGACAACGCCTGGTGGCCTGCGATTTTAAATAATCTAAAGAAATATAAGTGTCCAAAAAACATATACAAAATCATTCAAAATTATTTTTCTGACAGAAAACTTGCAATCCAAACAAACTTTCATTATATTGACAAGAAATTGACGCTAGGAACTCCTCAAGGATCAGCACTATCACCTATACTATGGAACATCTTAATCAATACTGTTTTCGAAATAGACCTACAGGAAAATTCAACATTATTAGCATACGCAGACGATTTATTATTACTTATAAAACGAAGAGATTTCGATGAAATACAGACAATAGCAAACATAACATTATCAAGGCTGAGACGATGGACTAGACGCAACAAACTTAAATTTAATCTAGACAAGACAAAATATATAATCTTCACAAAAAAGAGAATTGTACCAGAATTGGATATTCGACTCAATACAGTAAGAATAACGCAATGTGATACATTATCATATTTGGGGCTTCTCTTTGACAGAAAACTGAATTGGAACAGACATATAGATAATCTATATGACAACACTTTAAGGATTATAAATGGACTATCAGTGGCTGCAAGAGCGACATGGGGACTCAGATCGAAAGTGTTAAAGGAAATTTATGAAGCTGCTGTACTTCCTAAGATGCTCTACGCTGTGCATGTCTGGCATCCGGCCGTTGAACGTAAGAAAAATTTGGTGAAGTTGGAAAGGCTTCAGAGGTTAATTGCGATTAAGATATGTAAGGGCTATCGTACACTATCATTCGAGGCCACAATATTATTGGCAGGGCTGTTGCCAATCCAAATGAAGATTGAAGAACGAACGACCTTATATAACATTAGAAAAGGAAAGAGAGGATACAAAGACCTGACCCTAGACAAAATAGAAAGAATCACTGACTGTAAATCTTGGTTACACCCTGCAACAAGTTTATGGACTGGACCGGGAATTACTTCTGAAAATACTGATGTTTTCACTGATGGTAGTAAGGACGGCGAGAATGTTGGATGTGCATGGTTGTTCAGAGCTCAAGATGGTAGGAATATAGAACATCAATATAAATTAGAATCATATTGCTCAAATAATCAGGCAGAAAAATTCGCTGTTTTAAAGGTTACTGAATACATTTATGAATACCCTCTACAAACGAATACTCACGTTACTATAAATACAGACAACAAAGTTCTGCTAGACTCTGTTAATAATTGGGACATTCATGATTACTTGACTGACCAAATTAGAAACAAATTGTTAATGATGAGAACTGTAGGGAAAGTAGTGACTCTAAAATGGGTAAAAGCACATTGTGGGATTGAGGGCAATGAACGAGCCGATTGCCTTGCAAAAGAAGCAGCTAAAAGCGATTTGCCGCCATCGTATCATCAAGCTCCTTTATCGTATATTAATATGAATTTAAAGTTGGATTTCATCAAAAGATGGGATCACATATGGGTGACCTCAGCTAAGTCACCAAGCTTACACAGATTTATACCACACATTTCAATTCACAATTACAGACACATTCACAGTAATGACTACAAACTAACGCAAGTACTTACGGAACATGGGAATACAAAACAATATCTTAAAAGATTCAACATTATACAAACAGACTTATGTGATGAAGACGGACAGGTTCAAAATTTTAAACATATAATATATGAATGTAAACGATTTGACAGACAGCGATTTGAGTTAATAAAAAGTATAATTATCAAAAGAGGAAATTGGCCTGAGACGGAACAAAAGTTATTTACTGAATTCAAGACAGACTTTCTTAGATTTATTAGATCGATCGACTTCGACTTACTAACCAGGGATGGGCAGCGTGGGTGATTTCTTTTTGGCTTTGTTGGATTGACTTTGTGTGTTTAATATTTAATTTTCTGATTTAATTTTTGTGTGTTTATTCTTTGTGTTTTTTTTTTGTTAATGTATATAAATTTGAACTAAAAATGTAAATCATGTGAAACTAGAAAAAAAAAACAATTGTAAACAAATGTAATTCATGTAGTATGTCTTTAAGGCATGGAGCATGAAGGAAAATCAAATAAACGATCCTTGTGTGGGGTTACCACGTAAGGAAAAAAAAAAAAAAAAAAAAAAAAATACATACATATATATATATATATATATATATATATATATATATATAATGCTATTTTTGTGTTTTTTTTCTGTTGGCATTACAGACCACGTAGATCTTTTGCTGCCTTAACAAGCCTGCTACATCTCTGCCTGTCTTGGGCTATTTCTGTCCATTTATCTGCAAGCAGCTCTGTTGCATCTTTGTTGATTCTATCTATCCATCTGCTTTTTGGCCTTCCATGTGGTCTTTTGCCTTCTATTGAGGCAGTCAATGTTACGTAGAGGCTTCTAGATGGATTGCTATGAGGTACATGACCTGCCCATCTTAACCTCCGTGCCTTCAAATCATGGGATATTGATTGACCGATTTCTGTAAGCAGTTCTTTATTGGTCTTTCTTCTCCATGTGTTAGTACTCTGATCCCAGATCACTCCGGTTATCCTGCGGAGGATTTTCCTCTCAAATCTGTCAACACTTTTTTCTAGAGTGCTGATTAGTGTCCAGGTCTCACAGCCATGAACTAGCTTTATCACAGGATTTTAGATGATTAGTTTAAGATTTCTTGATACTTTGATTATTGCTTATTGTTAACTTATATTAACAAGCACAAATTAACTCATACTTGGCTTCTGCAAAGTGCTTTCTGCCACACTAAAGCTTTCTATCTATGAGATGATTTGAAAGATATCTTTTTCATAAAAACACACTCTGCATCCTTCTTTATGAGTGCTATATAATATAATTAGAGTTTTCTATATAATTAGAATTTATCCTATAATATGATTAAATTAAATTGGCCTTTTACAATGGAATCCTGAAAAGTAACCTGGCAGTCAACCTGTTGAATGATACCAGAAGTATTGCAGGAAAGTATAAGAAAATAAAGAAACTAACAAAAATGAAGGATTAACTGGTTTGTTTTGGCTTTTAAGGTGTAAAATGCTAGGGTCATAAACGCCTGTGAGTCAGTTATTTTTGTTGTCTGTTGAGTTCAGAAACTCCTTAGAAGAGAGAGAAAAAAAAAGAATAAACAATCAAAATCTAATAATAAATAAATAGAATAATAAATGAAAAATATTTATAACATATGAAAAATGAATAAACAAAAATTAAAAATACTATAAAACAAAAATTATACTTATTTCTATATTTTATTTAATAGCCTATGGATTTTAAGAAAATGTATAACTGTTTTAATGTTTGATTCGTTATTGTTTAATACTACTAATATAGCAAGTCCTAGAGATAATCTGTTAAAGCTTGAGGTATAATAAGGGCATTCCTGGAAAATATGAGGATTAACTGGTTTCAAACAGAAATAGAGAATTATTTAGCTATAAACCAATATTTATCTAAAAATAAAGACAAACTGAGATTTATGTCTAAATTTTCACTTAAAGAAAATAATATAGTAAACATTATTGCCAACAAGTAACAGATCAAATTTATACTACTCTAAACATATCAACAAATAAAAAATAATAATAAGGCTATTTCCATTATTAATATAAATCATATAATACCTAAGTCTTGTAGCAATATGAGCAGGCAAATGAAATCTGTAACCAGAGCTGTCACTGTGCATAGTATACAATCGTAAACCACACATCATTGCTATTACAAGCATTAATCCACAAAAGAGGCAACCCATAATTGTAGCACTAATGACTGAATTCTGTTTACAAAAAACAAAAAAAAATTATATAAATTTCTTGGTGAGCAATAACATATATATTATATGATATATATGTTAATGCAATATATTAGCTTAAGTTCAAATTTAAACCAACAGTGTCAGAGGTTTCCATAAAAATAATACTTTCCAACCAGCACACACAGAAAACTCGTAAATTTAGATGAGTTAAACTCTTGGATGTCACAGTCATGAAAAAAATTACGATTTCCAATAAATAATAATAATACAAAACATGGTTGAAACTGTATCATCCTTTACCAGTAATACAGGTATGTCATTCTGACTTGATAAATGTGCGGTGCTTCATATAAAAAAGGGAAGAAAGGTTAATACTCAAAACCCCTACAAGAAGACCATCACATAGGAAAGCACATATAGGAGGCACATTCCAAAAGACAGTACAACATCTGATAAATGTCGACTTTGTTCAATGATGCTCAAATCAATCCAGCATATCACAACTGGAGTGTTCCGCTGCTTGTGGAGTGCTCGCTGGTACGGAGTATCTGCAGAGGCACAATAATGTGGCGAAAATATTCCACCAGGCTCTGGCTTATGGAACTTATGAAACTTAAACTATTATAACTGATCATACTGTGGGTCACAACAGACCGGATATCCTTATTATAGATTTAGGAACAAAGAAGGCAAACATAATAGATATCGCGATTCCAAATAATAAAAATATAAGCACAACCGTGGAAGAGAAGCTCCGTAAGTACCACGAACTGATGATCGAAATAAAGGAATTGTACCATTTGGAAAGCGCATTAGTTATACCAATAATAATATCAACAAATGGTCTGATCTCAAAGTCAAAGGTGGCAGGTACAGACGGCTTGAAATTATCCTTGATGTGTTAAGAAATTCGAAAATAATAATAAACATCAATGATCAGTTGTAAAATATCAGTTCATGTCAACAAATACATCATAACACCAGAGCAACTAGGATGTAAGGAACTGCGGGTGGTAGATTCGTTCTTAGCATCCCAGATATCAAAGAAAAAATGAAAGGCTTCTATTGCCTGGATTGATTACCAAAAGGCATATGATTCAGTTCCCCACAGGTGGTTAATAGAAGTATTAAACATATATAAAATAGACATGAAAATTGTAGACCTTTTAGAACGTCTAATGAAAACACGGAAGGTGAAATTACATTTATCTAAATTTAGTCGTTCCAATGATTTGTATACCAATCAACAGAGATATATTTCAAGGAGATTCTTTAAGTTTATTACTGTTTCATCTGGCATTAAACCGGGCTAAATGAATTACTAAAAGATTCAGGAATGGATTACAGAATTCATAAAAATGAAACCAGAATATCTCATGCAAGAGCCATATATATATATATATGGATGATTTAAAATTGTATTTCAAAAGTGAAAAAGAACTAGTGAACATGCTCCAAATAGTAAAGTCATTTAGTAACGACATAAGCATGACTTTAGGAATAGAAAAGTGTGCGATAATACATCTTAAAAGGGGAGAGATAAGGAATAAAGAAGAGACGGAACAGATTAACAATGAAACAATAAAGGAACTAAGGAATTCGGATTCTTACAAATATATAGGTTTTGGAAAACTTGAAATTCAAGAAAAATAATACAGATAATTATAAAGAAGAATAAAATAACTATTCAAAACATACCTCTCATCCAGTAATTTAATTAAATTAATTAATACATGGGCTATCCCTGTGTTAACTTATACTTTTGGCGTGCTAAAATAGTCTCATAAGGAGCTGGTGGAAATTAATCGGTTGGTAAGAGTTCTTTTTATCTTAGCCCGGAAATGATATCTCAAGTCTTCAATCGAGAGGATGTATTTGCCTCAAAAAAAAAAGGAGGGAGAGGACTTGTCTATTTATTAAGAAGCTGTACTGAGCAAGAAAATAATTAAAGGTGTTCTTTCCAACAAAGAAACTCTCCTGTTTGGTCAGCAATAAAGTCCATTGGATGATGCCTAAACAGCTTTAAGATCAGCTTCCACTGTGCACAAAGAGGTTCCTACAGAAGAAAATCTAATCAAAAGTTGGAAAAGTAAAGCACTACATGATCGCTTTTACAATTCTATGTCTCAATCAGGAATTAATTGGAATGCCTTTATCAACTGGCTTAAAAAAGGATACTTATTTCCTGAAACTGAAAGTTTATTTTAGCAATTCAGGACCAAGTAGTTTCTACCAATGCCAATAGAAAATATATATACAGGGAAGACATAAGTGAACGATGTCCCTATTTAAAAATGCAACAGAGTCAATACAGCTTATATCATCAAAATGCGTTGGCCAGTTAAGAATACCTGATGAGACACAATAACCTGGCAAATATTGTGCACCAAGCTCTTGCTTCTTTATATAATATGATATCTGACCAGGTTCCTTATTACTAGAGACCGGATTTCCATGTTATTGCACATTATGTCCCACAAGGCTCATCCTTATTTTCATCTATATAAATGATCTCCCAACCTCTATCCTGCATTGTCAGTACCACCTATATGCCAAAGACGTTCAAATTTACCTCTCCTTCAATCCAACCAATTCCTCAGATGTCATTCTAAAACTCCAAGAAGATATTAATAGAATAAGTGCTTGGGCAAACCTCAACAGGCTCACTCTGAATGCCAAGAAGAGAAAAGCCATCTTGATCGGATCTCTCTCATTCCTCAAATCCTGCCTGGTATCCCCCAATCGTCTCCTGAACAACTCACCTATCTTATTCCATACTACCATTAAAAACCTAGGTGTTAATTTTGATCAAACCCTCTCCTGGAAACTACACATCTCCGCCCTAAAACAGTTCTATCGTCTATGTTATTTCCTTCCATATAAGTCCTGTCAACTCATTGTTTCCTATCTTGTTTTCCCCCACCTCGACTATGGCTGTATGATGTACGGTGGACTCTCTGGAGATTTCAAGGTCAAACTTAAACGTCTAATGAATTGCGCATAATATTTTGTTTTCAGAATCTCTAGAGATAGGCATATTATCCAGTATTACACCAAGTTGAAGTGGCTCTATCCATCCCATCGCCGTCAGTACTTCCTAGCTACCTTTCTGCACCAGATCATTAGAACTCATCGACCATCCTATATTTTTCATAGCTTACAATTTAAATACTCCATCCAATCTCATTCCACTAGATCTCAAACTTCCGACCTCTATCCTCCGCCTCACCGAACTGCTGTGTTTGACAAATCATATGCAATTCAACTCCCTCTGGAATTCCATCCCTGCTGATATTTGACAAGCATAATCAGTTTCCTCTTTCAAACCTCTCCTCTTTAAACACCTACTCCTTTCTCAAGCTGACTGATTACAAAATATAGCTAAGAGATCTAAGTAACCCCAGAGACTATTTCTGTTATTTTAGTTTCCTTTGTTTGTCTTATATATATGTACGCTTTTCTTATCTTTTTCTCTCTCTTCTTCTGTATTTTTACTTTTAATTAACTATTATTGTAAATATTTAATTTATTTATGACCACACATACATGTATTCTGTAGTTATAATTTGTTCTAAAGGGACAACAGTCCTAGAATAATAAAATATATTTTCATTTCATTTCATTATACTCGCTTGCGTGTAAAAACCCTGAACCACAATATCTATTTGTTTCAGGATCTGTAGAATATCATATTTAAATTTTTCATTGCACGAAATTGCCATTTTTGACTTAATTGCAGGATTTTGATTTTGCATTAAATAGCACATTTTTGTAGATTTTGTGCTAGATTAAAGTATATATAAATATAAACATATATGTTTGTTTACTAAACTTTTGTATTGTACTATCTTGTCCATATTAAATTTATAATTTTATAAAGAAAAATATGAGGAAGGAAAATGATTGGGAAAGATTCGAATTGAACGTTACAAAAAGACAAAGTAAACACAAATGCAGACTAACTATTCTTGAAATGGAACTGGCCTGAAGTAATTCAATAAAAAAAACTACCTTCCTAGTTTTGAGTTTAATTCTCACTCTTGCTTAAGTCCTCCAGTATTTCTTTAAAGTTATGACAAAAAAAAGGATAAAATTAAAGATTATTTTTAATAAATATAATTTTATATCGGAATCTTTAGTTGTTGGGCGCCTGGCTTTACTAGCCTTTCATCTCTAACGAGATAATTATAGATTATATAAGTTACTTACCCATTATTTGGCCATGATTAATCATTTACTCTACCATGCTAGCTCAGGTGAGAAGGGGTTAGGTTGGATATTTTTATAAAGCAGCAAAAAAAGGTTAAAAGATCTATTTACAAAAAGAAATATTTACAGAATGCATACTGTGTACAATAATAAGAAATAAAATACAAGAAAAAAGAGAGAATTTAAACATAATTATTATATACAATTATAGATAAATAGGAAGATATTTAAGATAATAAAAAAGATACTTATTCTATATACAATAGTATGGCATGCCACATCTAAACATCAAGAAAAGATAGTCAAGATACAAGAGATATAAGATGTAAGAGCACATGCACATACTAAAATATCAATTAGTAATCTGGCATCGGAAAGAGTAGTGTTTTTTTTTCCACTGCTTCCTTAATCTTGGTTACACCTTCCCTTCTTCGGGAGCGTGAGACCCCTCACGCTACAATTCAGGGTAATAGACTTTTAGTTGAGCTGCATGTCCAAGTCCAGCTGGTGTACCTTCGGGTGTCATCAAGTGGTATACGTTAGTTGACCTTTTGTGTGAAATACATGGCCCTTCAAATTTCGGAGCTAGTTTGCTAGCGAATCCTCGTTCAGCAGATGAGAGAGGATGAGCCTGTTGCAGTACTAGATCTCCTTCATTAAACGTCACTTCCTTCCGTTGACGGTTGTAGTAGTTACTTTGCCGCGCTGAAGCTCTGCTAAGTCTTGCTTCTGCTGTCTTCCGAAATTCCTTCAACCTATTTAAATGATCAGACCAAACACAATTATCAAGGGATTTCAATACTTGGTCACTA